TTCATTCTGAGCCGAGTCCGCCTCGTTCAGCTTGTCTTGAAGCTGCCGCACCAGATCGTCCTCAGTGTCCATGATGTTCAGGTCTTCGTCGTCGTGCCGGTCCCCTTCATCCTCCTCTTCCTCACTAGAGCTGCTGATGTCGTTGAAGATCTCTCTCAGTTCGTCGCGTGGGACTTTAGAGAATGAGACAAATGGGAAAAATGCTGAAACCTAAAGGCAAAATGGTTCACATTGCATACATATTAAGCTAAAATGAAAATAAGAATGAATGATGATCACAAGCACCGCTGCAACGTTTGGCAGGAAATTTAAGATTTCACCTTTTCACCAAGCATAGATATATTTTATCCCTACTTACATTTTGTTTTCTTGGTAAGACTAGGTAATTTCAATGGACCTTTTTCAATTTACTTTCAATTTATTTCTCTTTGTAATAATTAATTACAAATATAACATATCTCGTTTAAAACTAGTTTGACTTCTTCAAAACTACAATCCAAATAATGACAAGAAGATCTTATTCACTGGAGTCACAAAACCACATTTTGTAGTAAAAACATCAGAGCACAACATTTTCAAAATTACAGAAATACAATATAAGAAAAACAAAACAAACAAAAAATGCCACCAAACAAGCAAAACTGCTAAATCATAAGAAGGCAACATAGGAATATGGCTGGAAGCCATCTTGCTTTTAATATGAATCCATGAAAATATTTTGACATTTATGATGAGAAAATTAAAATATAATGGTCATGCAAGTAATTTATCAATTATTTGATCAACAGCTGAACATCAATAACTTTTTTGTTACAGTGTGTTGGTAAAATCAAACTGATTCCTGCTCCTTTCATTGTGTAACAAACACACAGCAAACAGAAACACTGGTTTATTTTTATTTTTAACAAATTAAAGTGAGAAACTCGACGCAAACTAAATCTTTCACAATGTATCCAAAGGATGGGAATTACTTTTCACCTGAAACTCTTCGTTATTAAGCAGCAAATCATTTTTTTTCTCCACACTTCATACAATGAACAAGTTGCGTTGTTTTTACCTGAGGCTCCATGACCCATCTTGTGCCCCGAGGTGCCGGGAGAGGAGTCCAGATTGGCCAGAGAGCCGTGCTGGTCGGCTTCTTTGGACTCATCCTCTGCTATGACCTCCCACCCTGGACAGCTGCAGTTAGGGTCAAACAACTTCCAGAAACTTCACTTATCCACAAAGACACACAAAACACCACCAAATGCGCAGCACGTCTGGTTAAAAACCTAGAAGATAAATTAACATTCTATTGTAACAGGACGTTTATTTACTAGGAAAAACATCCATGTTATGATGATAACTTGTAGTATTTAATTTATCCTACATGTACAGGGAAAAACAAGGGAAAAACTCTAAGGAGTGGCTTCTTAGGGTCAACCAGTTACTTGCAGGGTTTGCCAGTAAAGAACCTTTTCTGTCGTAAATTAAAAAAAAAAGCAAATATGTGGAGTTTTAAAATAATTTTCTGAAAGAAAAAGTAAATAAAATCAAAATTTTACGAGAATAAGGTTATTTAGAGAAAGGGATCTTGTTTTCAAATTATTTTGGGCTCAATATAACAAATTTATCCTTATCTACAAGAACATAATTTAGGTCACCTTCTGTTAAAATGCTTGCTATAATTAGCCAAGTGCAGTAGATTAAATAAAAGTTGATTTTGGTTCAGCAAAGTCAGTAAAAATCTCTGAATCAACATTTTTCTACTTGTAATTAAAGCTTGGCTATAAAAAGTCTTTTTGTTGTACCTAACTTTTTCCATTATGAGAAAATAATGTTGGTAATAACGTCATCTTGACTTAAAAATAAAAAGTCCAAATTTCTGTCATTCTCAACAGTTTTTTGAGGGCCACAGACATTCAGTCCAAGGGCCACAAATGGTCCCCAGGCCACACTTTGGACACCCCTGCTTTAGGGGGCCATAAAAATCAAATCAGTTTCTTTCATAGTGTCAAATTACAATGTGAAAATAGGTTAATTTTATGACATACTCATCATATATTGAGAACGGTAACACTAACAATTTGTTAATTGGTAGTTTTATCAATACATTTCACCCTTTGAGGATGTTTAAGATCTTAAAGTGGCCCAAAATAAAAATGAGTTTGATCTAAAACAAACTCATTTTTGGCCAAATCAACTCAGAAATGCTCCAAAATCAGAGACAAAAGAAAGGAGGAATGATGAAGGATTCTCCTCTCTGTAAACACCAAACTTGAGAAATGCTATAAGACAAGTCTTGCTCTATAGTCAAAAAAGGTTATGCAGAGTACACAGAGGAGGAGCTTTAATAATGTTCCTACTGTTGGTTGTATTAAAAACAATTTAGATTTTTCCCCACTGCAGAAACAGATCATTTTCCATCTTTGTCCTCTACATGCTTATGTTGTGTGTATGTCTAAAGCTGTATGCAAACAATGGAACTATAAATAGTCTAGTTTTACAGTGCTCAACTAAGCAGTGATAATGAACAGTCCGTCTCAATTAACTCAAAGCCAGTAGCCACACAAAGCAGCCTCCCTGTGCTCTTATTCTGTCAGGCAGGCTCAGAGCTTCATCAGAGACCTTAAAAGCTTCTTTTCACACCGCATCTTTACCCACAAACGTTTTACACAGAGGCAAGTAAGGTGAGCTGGGCAGGAGGCTGAGTGTCGGATAAATCCAGCTGGGAAAATTAAAGTCAGGGGAGCAAATATGGCTTCCATATTTGGAAAGACGCTCCATCTAAAAATCTAATCGCATTTCCACTGACTGACCAATCACAGCCCAGCAACAATTCACTATAATAAAATCATAAGACAATGTGTGGAGGTTGAATGAAATAGACACAATAAAATAGATTATTATCGAAGCCTGATTCAATCTATATTAGTAACTCGGCTTAGATATATCAATGTATAATGCACTGCAAATAGACCAAATTTCAACACGTTTCAAATATCTTTGTCGCCTGGAAATAAGATAAAACTAACACTTCAGTTATAACATGAGAAAAATCTCTCGTTGGATTACAGTTTTCCAGTGGATGCACCGAATATTTTTACCGCAGGTGTCTGAAAGGATACGAACACTGACAGCCTCTGCGTCTGTGCTCAGCAGCCTCTTCACTTCCTTTTCCACATCAGGAGATTCAATGTACTGCAGCGGGGAAAAAGCAGAGAAAGATCAGGACACTTGTAAACCAACATGCACATACACACAAGCACAAACACGTGAAGGTAGCAGCTGGCTGCTGGCCAGGAAGGGCATTAGCGACTGAAACAGAGGAGGCCTAATCAATATGGCTGTGCTCCACACTTTCAGGAATATCCATTCACAAGACAAAGTAGAAGCGTAGAGCTTCGGCTTGCTCAATGCTATTGTGAAATGGCTTTTTTTTTTTTACACCTTTAGGGAAATCTAAGACAAAATGCTTTATTTATATGTAAATCTTGGTTTTCACTTTCACCACTGTTTCATAAAATGTAAATGTCTTGTTGGAGGAGAGCTCAGAAAAGAGACAGGTCATCAAACAGTATGTTAAACAGACGGGTGAGGAACCCTGGAGGGGAACTGAAAAAAAATAAAAAAAATAAGTTGAAACCTTTTTTTTCGCTGTCTTCCGAAATCTTCGCTTGCGTGTGTTTTTCAGAGGGCAGGTGACTGTGGACGTGAAACGACAGTTAGCAAAAAGATAGCCTGCTCATATAAGACATTTTTAGCTAAAATCTTTACAAAATCAAGACCTGTGAGGATATTTATCAACTTACTGCCATGATTCCAGATGAATTTCTTGTCCTTGTCTTTGTCTTTCTTTTTAGTCTTTGGGTCAGTGCCGGTTGGCTCCTCCAAAGGAGGGTAGAGGTCTCCATCTAGTGTACACACCAGCATCTAACCAGATAGAGAAAACCTTGAATTATTAAACAATTTCTAATACTTGGACAAAAATTGCAAACTTGTAATAATTTCTTTAGGGGTGAAGTAGTCCATAATTGTGAAATGGAAGGAAAATGATGGGTGATTAGTAAAAATAAATTGGAAAACGTTTATTGTTTAACTTCCCCTTCACAATAATCATAAAAAATAAGAAATTTAATCAAATTTAAGGTGGCAAAGTTCTAAAAAGACAGAAGAAAAGGTCTAGTTGAGATTAAGGCTTACCTGACAGACATCAGCTGTCTTGTAAAATGTTTTCTTGTCTACTGTTTTCAGGGACTCGATCATGCATGGCAGCTCCACCAGTTTGCAGGCCAGAGGAACACGATCGACTCTCACTATCCCATGACGACCGTCCGCTGAGAACCGGAGGAAAATGAGAAATAAATCTGACTGCGTTCTGGTCAGATGAAAAAAGAAAAAGCTACCTTTTAACATTCTTAACTAAAAAACTAAATGCATAAGACTTCCAGATGTATCCCAACATTCTTAAGGGCTTTTATGGATTAATATCCAAAATCTGTATTCACACAATTCAGGAAGGTTAAAATATATTTGTTATTTCTAACTAAATTTTTATCAATCGCAAAAAAAAAAAAAAAAAAAAAAAAAAAATCAGAAGAAGCACAATTGTTGAATCAACCAAATTTAACCACAAGCAAGTATGTATAATTGATTTGTTAATCAGCAGAGCTTTCACTGAAAACAAATCTTGCAGTATTCAAAATAATAATAAAAAAATCAACCAATAAATATGAAACCAGAACGTAAAAATAAAAAACATTCAAGACAGAAGTTCAGATGAAGTAATTTTATGCTTCTGAAAGACGTGTTTGTGCTGCTTTTTTCTTGGTGAAAACATGAATCAACTTAGATTAATATTAATATTAGATTAATATTAAACACACAATAAATATAATCAGAATATTTTTCACAAAGCCAAAAACATTCATATAAACTTAAATATGTGACAGAATTTTATTTTCAGCATAATTGTAGATTGCTAAACTAGGTTTATTTAGACTTTTGTTTTTTAGTTAAAAAGTTATATTTGAGTTATGACAGTTGATGGTTACCATAGCGACAGCTCATCTCCTATTTCTGCTGCCGTCTGTAACTGTGGTATGTATTACCATCAGCTCAGTTTTTCTTTATCAGTATCATATTTTAACATATATTTTTGACCAATCTAGTTATATACAAGGTTTCATGAGTAATTTTTCCAGGTTTTGTGAATGTTTTTGACTGTTATCATAATTAATGTTGTGCATTTCACTCAATAAGCCTGATTGTGTCTGTTGTAACGTCAACCTATTAGACTTAAGATGAACAAAGAAGGGTTACAAATGCAACCCTGCTAATATTTAGCAAAATATTCTTCTGTTTTCAAAGTTATGAGTGAGGTTTAGGCATAATTCTGAACAGACTTTTAATCATTCTTCTCATCAGCATTGATAGAGTTAACTTAAACTGGTTGGTTTCCTGCCATCAACTTAGTGTTAAAGTATAGTTCAGATATCCTGTTGAAATACCTTGTTGAATCTTGATGACTCCAACTTCAACCTAACTAAATATTTCTAGGCTTTGCTTAAAACCTGTGCCAGAGCCAGGAAACTAGCAACTTTTTATTAACGTTAACATCCAGTCAGGATTGAGTCTGTATGCATCATATAGGCGCTGTGTGCATTAGAGAAAATGTTCAATACATTCAAACTCCTGCACATAACAACAGTTTTAAAAACTAACATAAAACAATGGTTGAGATCAAAATATATTCCTTGACATGATGAGTGCATGTTAACCTCTTATCAACAATGGAGATCTTGTGAGATTCATTTCATGATCAAATGAAGTGAAATTAGTAGTTTAACAAACAGGTCAAGCACAGAACAGTGGCAGTAATACTGATAAAGTAACTTACGGTGCAGCTCGATTGTAAGTCTGTCTTTCATGTTCATACTGCTGGACTGTGCTATCCTTCTGACTGTTGAGGCATACTCCTGAAAAAAGATAGAAAATGAATTCACGTCACTTTAAACTCACAGTGTATCATGCTGACTTTTATAAAGGAGTAAACTTCCTCACCGAAGGAAGCCTCAAGATATACTGGCTCTCCAGCTCATAAGGGGCATCTTCTTTGTTCTTGGAGCCCACCTTTCCCACTAGAATCAAAACAAAAACATTTGATCATGAATATGATGTTTTTTAAAAATAAATCTTCCAGTAAAACACGGAGATGGATAGGAAAACAATCAAGTTAAGCAAAATGAGCTTATTTACCCGAAGCTTATTGCAGCTGTTTCGCTTTATTTAGTGCAAAACAGAGCAGTAACTGAAGACGTTTACCGCAGACTGTAACGTTTACATTGCTATTGTTATAATTGGTATAATACAGTAAATTTAACTTATTACATTGTGTTACATTTGTTTGCCTTCATTCCTCCAATGCAGATGTAGTTAATGCAACATAAATAATAAAAAACCAAGGTACGCTAATGCTAATGTTAGCAAAGAAGGCTAACATTATGATGTCGCTTACCTTTAATTTTAGACGTCATTTCCAGCTTTGTGATGTACGAGGCCTGCGGTTGAAATGAAATGCAGATCTGCAAAGAATAACAAATAAAACTTGAAATTAACGATTTAGATGTGATCAAGGTGTCGTCTCATCGCAGAGATTAGCCATATGCTAAACTAACTGTGAAGTGCTGTGCTGCGTTCACGTCCTCTTCTTCTTCTTGTGTTTATTGGCGGTTGGCAACAAACTTAGAGTAGCATTACCGCCACTTACTGGTATGGAGTGTGGCTCGTGTTGGTCTAAAGCTCTCTCTGTATATATATACCTATATATATTCATACATACACCTACACAAAAAAAAAAAAAAAAAGAAAAAACATATTTATATTTATACCTATACATACTTACATCCATATTTATATTCTACTCATCACTATCATCCATACATTAACTCTTATGTCTACTCTATCAAATTCTACTGAATATCTTAGTTTTCTTTAAAAATCGAATAACTATTTGTATATGTTTGCTCTCAAAACTCTTCCTCAAAATATCTATTAAATTAAATTTTTCCTTAATACTTTCAAACTCTTTTTTCATATATCTCCTCTCTCTTTCATATTTATCACATTCTAGAATAACATGTTCTACTGTTTCCCATTCTCCACAATACTCACATTTACCAGTTGCATGCTTTTGAATTCTAAAAAGTGAGTAGTTAAGCCCTGTATGCCCAAATCTTATCCTTGTTATCACTCTTTCCTCTTTTCTATTTCTTCCTCCCTTTCTTCTTTCTCCTACCATCTTCTGAATCTTATAATACCATCTTCCTGTTATTTCTTCATCCCACCTTTCCTGCCACTTTTCTGTCAGTTTTTCCTTAACTATACTCTTTCCTTCAGCTTTACTTGTTTTAACTTTAATGCTAATTGGATTTTGAATTGCCCCTTTTGCTAATTTATCTGCCCTCTCATTTCCTTCTATTCCAATATGTGCTGGAACCCATACAAAATTAACTATCACCCCCATATTTTTTATTCTATATAATGTGTGAAATATTTCTAATAAAATGTCCATTCTACTATCCGATTGCTTGTTTTTAATACTTAATAATGCAGATCTTGAATCTGAACAGATTATTGTTTTTAATGGTTTTATCTCTTCTACCCATTGTAAAGACAATAGAATTGCCATCATTTCTCCTGTGTACACTGATGATCCGTCTGTAATTCGTTTTCCTATTCTTATATTGAATTCTGGTACTACAAACGCTATACCTACTTTCCAGTTATTTTTGATGCATCTGTATAGATTTGAATATACTGATAGTAATTGTTTAAAAGTACCTGCACTGAACTACTATCAATGATGAAAGATTTATCCTGTTTCTTATCCATTATTGTCATATCTACTGTTGCTTCTGGTAGAATCCATGGTGGTATTACTGATGTTGGTGTTGATGACTAATTTCCAGACTACTCATGTTAAATTCTTTTATTTTGTTTTCAATTGTCCATCCAAGACTCCCCATTTCTTTTGTTTCTTTTTCCCAACATGGTTTTAAAATTTCCCTAGCCGGATGATCAATATTATTGCTTTGCAAATTTAACCAATAATTTAATTCCAACCTTAATCTTCTTAATTCTAATGGCATTTCTCCCATCTCTACTTCCATTGCTGCTCTTGGTGTGGTTTTAAATGCTCCAGAACATAATCTTAATGCTTGATGTTGTATTACATCTAATTTAACCAAATGTACTTTCGCTGCTGAACCGTAAACAATACAACCAAAATCTATGTTAGCTCTTATCATACCTGTATAAAACTGTCTCAAAGATTGCCTATCTGCTCCTCAATCATTGCCAGCCAAGCATCTCAAAATATTTAAAATTTTCTTACTTTTATCGACAACTTTCTGAATATGTACATTCCATTTTAGTTTATCATCAAACCATACTCCTAAAAATTTTATACACTTTACTTGCTCTAATTCTTGACTATATAATTTTAATTTTATTTCCCTGTTTATTTTTTTCCTAGTAAATACCATTACTTTTGTTTTTTCAACTGAAAACTTAAATCCCCATTGCCATGCCCATCTCTCTAGCTCATTAATAACATCTTGTAATTTTTTAACAATAAAACCTAAATTTTTCCCTCTTTTCCAAACCGCTCCATCATCCGCAAAGAGTGAACATCCCATTTCTTTATCAATACCTTTAAATATCATTTATCATAATAGAGAACAATAACGGACTTATTATACTCCCCTGTGGTTCCATTTTCTACTCTATATACTCCTGATGTTACTTCACTGATTCTAACTTGAATTTTCCTATTTAGTAAAAAGTCTTTAATCCATTGATATATCTTTCCTTTAATGCCCAACCTATATAATTTAATTAATAATCCCTCTACCCACATCATATCATACGCTTTTTCTATATCAAAAAATATTGCCACCACCTTTTCTTTATTTACTTGTGCCTTTCTAATTTCATGCTCTAGACATATTGTTGGATCATTAGTACTCCTCCCTTTTCGAAATCCACTTTGATAATTTACTATATACCCCTTACTATTTAAATAATATACTAGTCTATTGTTAATCATTTTTTCCATTATTTTACATAAGTTTGATGTTAAAGCTATTGGCCTATAATTTTCTGGTTTTGATTTATCTTTCCCTGGTTTAGCTATTGGTACTATAATTGATTCTTTCCATTCCATTGGTAATTTCCCCTCCTCCCAAATTTTATTATATAATTTCAATATTATCTCTTTAGATTTTTCACTGAGCTGACTTATCATTCTGTACCATATTTTATCTTTACCTGGTGCTGTATTTTTAAGTTTTGTAAATGAAGAGTTCAATTCAGCTTTTGTAAATTCAACATTTAACAAGTTATTTGCTTCTTCTTCATTCTGCAACACATCTTTATATTTGAGTTTTGTATTTTCTCTTCCTTTTCTACCCTCCTCACTAATATTATCTGAACTGTGGATTTTACTGAATGTTCTTGCCAATATTTCTGCTTTATCTTCATCTTTAATTATATTTATGTTATCTACTTTTAATATAGGATATTCAAATTCTCTTTTAATGCCATTCATTCTTCTAATCATTCTCCAAATTTTTTCTATTTTTGTTTCCTTTCCTTATTGTGCTACACATTTTTTTCCAATATTCTCTTTTTGCATTCTTAATTATTCTCCTTACTATTGCTTGCTTTCTTTTATAATCAATTAAATTCTCATATTTTGAATTACTCTTAATACCTTAAATGCTTTGTTTCTTACTTTTATTGCTTCTTTACATTCATTTGTCCACCATGTACTATTTTCTTATAATTGTTACACCCTATTTTCTTCATAGATTTATCTGCTGCTTCCAAGATTATCTCACAAATTTTTAAATTTATTTCATCTATATTCATTTCCATATCCACTTTTTCTAATTTTATTTGACTTAAAAATCTGAATTTAATCCAATCTGCTTTATTAAAATCCCATTTTTTATTGACCTTTATATTTTTATTATTTATATTTAATCCTACTTTTATTGTAATGGGATAATGATCACTACCTATTGTTGTATTTTTATCAATGATCCATTCACAAATACTCGCTAAACCATTTGAAACTATTGTTAAATCAATAACTGATTCCATTCCTGTTCTTACATTAAGTCTAGTTCCCCTCACATCATTAATACATACAAGATTTTACTTTCTATTAATTCTTCTATTATTTTCCCATTTCTATCGTTACATTTACCCCATAATGTACTATTAGCATTAAATCCCCACATCAAATTACTTTTCCTTCCAAATATTCAGTTAATTCATCCATTATTTCAATTGATAATAATTTACATGGATTATAAAAATTTATTATTTTAACTTTACCACCTTGTTCCCAAATTTCAATTATTATATATTCAAGTTCTTTCCCTTTCCCTAAAACCTGATATTGTATCCCTTTTTTTTTACAAATATTCCACATCCACCTCCTGCCTATCTCTTCTTACACTACCATATCCGTTAATCACAAAATCTAACGTTGCTTTTAGCCATGTTTCCTGAATACAAATAATTTCTGGTTTTTCCTCAAGACTATCAATATATCCTTTAAGTTCCTGTCCGTTAGCAATCAAACTTCTTGCATTCCATTGTAATATTAACATGAATTATTTCCACCAGATGTTCCTGGCTTCCTGTCTACCTCCAATTTTTTGTTTATGTTCTCCCATGATCCCTCTTTAAACTTTTCCGCTCCCCTCACTATAATTTTAATCTTCTCCGTTTTATTCTTAGCTTGGTCAGTACAGTTGATAACATATGTCATAAATAATATTAGTTTTTCTACTGGTATCGTGACCTTTTCCTCTGACTGTATCTCACTTTGCAGTGGAATTTGCCTCGTTTTTTCAATCTCTTATTTTCTGTTCTTTCACATTTTTAACTGCCTCTGCATAGCTTTTATTTTTAGTCATTTTAATCTGTGTGACTTCTTTTGCTTTCTTCCTGACTTCACATCCTCCATATGTAACTCTATGATTCCCTCCACAATTACAACTTTTTCTTGTACTTCTTCTTTACATTCTTCTAATTTGTGATCTTCTCCACATTTTGGACATCTCTGCTTTCCTTTGCAAACTGCTGCTATGTGTCCATATCTTTGACATTTAAAGCAACGAAGCGGTGGAGGGATATAAGGCCTGACCTGAAAACTGAGATAACCTATTTTGATGTTTAGTGGTAATTCTTTCTCTTCAAATTCCATGAGTATTGACAGACCCCCACTCTCTCCCCGTTTACTGTTTTGGACAATCTCTTTAAGTTATTCACTTTTGCACCAACTACACTTTTCTTGATTTTATCAAGATCTTCATCTAGAGGGATCCCATAAATCACTCCTCCAGTTTTTTTATTTTCTCCAATGATTCTTTTCTCCAACACATTCTTTTTACAAATATTCTCCACGTTTAGAGCCTTGTTCTTTTGTTCTTCGTTTTTACAAACCACCAACAGATTCATATCTCTCAACATTTTTACCATTTCAACATCTCCAATTTTCTTTTTTATTTCTCTTGACACCACAATGGGGCTAATGTTATCTTGTCCTTCCATTTTTAAGTTTTAATATTATTTTAAATTCCTCCCGCACAACTTTCCTCCTAACTATCTTTTCTTCCTCTGAGCTACTTTCTTCCAGTTCTCGTTTACTTCCTTGACTTTCACCAATTTCTTTTCTTTCATCTATTTTGTTTCTTCCACGTCCTCTCCCTCTTCCTCTCCCCACTGGCGTCCACCCATCAAAATCCATATCTTCCTCATCTCCTAACTCCATTACCAACCGAACCATTCACATACCAGTTTATGCTCAATCCGCCTTTTACAATTTCAATTTGTAATTTGTTTTTCCGCCTTCTTCCTCCAACCGTCTCCTCCGATCTCGACCAGCTCTACTTTCCGAATCGACCTCCTCAACTGGCCGCGTTCACGTCCTCCTCGGATTTGTTGCATGTTTACGCCTTCTCGTCCGTACACTTCCTCCGACGCCTATCAACAGAAGAATTGTGAAATTAAAAATGTGCATGATCATCCGAAAAGGGCAAGATTCACATCTTCATCCAAGAGTTATATGAGTTACTTAAATTTGAACTAATTAAAAGGAAAGCTTATATTATAAAATACGATGCGTTTTTAACTTTAATTTATTTAAATGTGCAACTACCGATATATACAAACGTTGCATTTGGGTTGTATCGCGAGACTCGGCTCTCTAGATTGGAGTAGCAAAAGAGTCAAAAATATATTCAGAAAGTTTGAATTAATTTTATGGCAAAAGTTGTATTTCGCAGCGTTAATTCAAACTGAATTAAATACATGTTTGGATTCACTTCCTGTTGAAATTAAATAAGATGCAAATTTCAAAATAAAACAGTACAGGTCAGAGTGAAATGGGTATTTTCCGTTAAAAGCTCAAAATCTCCAATAAGCTTAAGAAATCAGCATTAAATTATTATTTTAAACAAATGTAATTTTTTTCCAAGCATTGGCTAAGGTAAAACCCTGAATAAGACTTTTAGCGTGAAACACATTTATACGCTTTCTGGAGAAAAATAATTTTCACTTCCGGGTTGACTCTGCTGCTGCCGTCTTGGCTGTCATCTCTTCTCGGTCCGTGACTCATTCTCTGTTCTCTCTCGCTCTCTCTTTTTCTTTTAACTCCGACCGTATGACAAAAAAGCCGTAATGTTAACCAGAACGAGCGTGGGCGTGTCGCTGCGGGCTGTGAAGACGCTGCGGTTGCTGGTTGTTGTTCTGGTGAGCCTGTGTGTGTTCATCGGCGTCTCAGCAGCATCATCTCCAGCCCAGGAGGAGAGCAGTGCCATGGAGAACATCTCTACGGAGAAGAAGGCTGAGGAGAGCCACAGACAGGACAGCGCAGACCTGCTCATCTTCATCCTGCTCCTCACCCTCACTATACTAACCATCTGGCTCTTCAAGCACCGGCGCTTCAGGTTCCTGCACGAAACCGGGCTGGCCATGATTTACGGTGAGACTGACAGCTGGAAGACGCCATCAGACCCGCAGATATCGATCAGATGTGAAATGTCAACACCGTGATCTGTAGTTTAAACTGCAGTTTATTTTTCTGTTCCCTTTTGAACATCAAAAACATTTCACTTCCCTTCCAGGTTAAACTGGTAACATTTGACTGACACAAGACAGTAATTAATCTGCTTATGCTGTGCTGAACTGACTACTTCCTCTATTTAACCTGGCATGTTGGTGTTTTATGTCACCCAAAAACTCATCCACACCAGACTTAATAGGAAATAAATGATTTTCTGCACTTTGTTTATTAAATCCACTAGACCAGAGGAGTCCAAAGTGTAGCTCCTGGGTCATTTGTGGCCCTTGAAATTAATTTGATCAGCCTCCCCAACACAAGTAAAAAAAAAAAAAAATGAAATCAACTGATGACCCTAGAAGTTTGGAAATGTTTTTTCTTTTATTAAGGCAACATGATTCAGCAGGTAAAAGGAGAAATGAAAGTAAACTACTTCTTGTGTTCTTAATTTAATGCATTTTGTGAAGCACCAGTAGTTTAAATTTAACAGTTTTGGCCTCTGAGGCAAAAAGTTTAGACACCACTGCAAGTTAAGATTTACTAGCAAAACAGAAATTCAGACATGACTAACCAGCAGCTTGTTGATGGCATCAAAAGTGTGTGATCAATGTGAGACTAAAGCTGAATTTATTTTATTTCTGCCTGTGGATGAGAAAGTAGAAAACCCAAGAACCAGATTCTTACTTTTAAATGTGTTTGAGAGAAAATTTCAAATGCAATAAAAATAAATGGAGCTTTGTTGTCTTAAATTAAACCGTCCTCTGTTCTATTTTTGCTCTCCGCCTCTTTTCTTAGGTCTTATCGTCGGGGTGATCTTGCGCTACGTCGTTCAGGTCTCTCGGGCCAACGTCTACCCGACAAACTGTTTTGTCAACAGCAGCCCCGCCACCCTGCTGTTAAATATCAGTGGCAAATTTTACGAATACACCTTGAATGGGGAGATTAGTGCCAACGAGGTGAATAACATGAAAGACAACGAGATGCTGCGCAAGGTACTGGCTGTTTACTCGCGTTTGTGGTAGTTACTGCTGATGGCATTTTAGTATTTTACTTTACTTTGCAGCTTTGAAGTTGGAGCCATGATTCTGGTTATTTTAAATAAATGAATGCACAATTATCAAGAAAGGTATTCCAGTTGAAACAACACAAATCACTTGAGTTATTTCTGGTTATATAGAGAAATGTGTCATGCTCTGGCATCTGATTGCAAAAATGTTAATGCCAATTGAACTTTTTTTATATATATTGCCAAATTTCAAATGCAAAGTTCAAAATTTTTTAGGGAAACAAATAATTTACCTCCTCTGAGATAATACTTTGTAAAATGACCTATCACTGAGGTATTTTCCCATTGTTCTTTGCAAGATACTTTATGCTGTCAGCTTTACTCATGTTAGTTATTTATAGTTGTAAAAAAAAAAAAAAATCTTGCATTACTTTCCAGTTCACAGCTGTGCTACTTTCTGTTGGATTGTCACATAAACATTCTTAATTAATTGAGGAAATACTTTTCCAAGGTCTTTATTTCTCTGGAATCCCAAATTCAACACAATCAAACTCTGTTCCCTGTGTGATCCAGTGTAAAATAAAAATGTCCTAACTTCTTTGTGCTCTGACAAATTTGGTACTGATCTGGATTCAGACCTAAAATAAGAATAATCTCAGCCTTAAATGATGCTTGATTGAGTTGCTGCTCTCTTTTAACATGTTATTTTACTCCCAGTTCTGTCAATCTTGATTAAATAATTAACATAACATTAATTAGCGTCAAAGCATTTGATTATTTTGCTGTTTTACTGATACATATCTTTGTTTTTGTGGGCTTCAGGTTACGTTTGACCCTGAAGTTTTCTTCAATATTCTTCTCCCGCCCATCATCTTTCATGCAGGCTACAGCTTGAAAAGGGTACAACATCCTCAGATCTTTAAATGAATAGTTTTAATTTATGATTAAATACTGTAACATCAGTAAAGTTAGCTGCATGTTTGCTCTTATCTTCCAGAGACATTTTTTCCGGAACATGGGATCCATCCTGGCTTATGCCTTTGTGGGGACTGTGATTTCCTGTTTTATTATTGGGTAAGATGATTGTGCTCAGAAACCGCACTGAGAAAAACACAGCTCTGACTACTTTGCTGTCGAATTATCTGTCGATAACCCACATGGTTATGGACAGATAATTAAAGCTGTCCTCCAACAGGTTGTTGATGTACGGCTGTGTCACGCTGATGAAGCACCTGGGCAAACTGGGTGGAGACTTCTTCTTCACCGACTGTCTATTCTTTGGCGCCATCGTCTCAGCAACAGACCCGGGTATTTATTCAAATGAACTTCTGATTATGTTTTCTATTCAGGGATTACATTTTAACCCTCCGAACTGGAACTTTCAATATATAGCACATACTTTCACAATTTACTGTCTATTAAAAAGTGTCTCATCAAATTAAACTGAACAAAAACATGCTCCCTGTTACGGCAGGAGTGAAATTACCTTAATACCCCGATATTGGCTGGAAAGCGCAACGTTCCTCTTTCAGAAACTGTTGGAATTTTTCAGATAACGTAAAATGTTTATGGTACTGCAAATTTGCTGAACTATGCATTTTCTTAAGAAACTTATAATTAGTCATACAAATTCACATTTGAACCTGCATGAGGTGATCAAAGAAGTCATTAATATACAGTCTAATAAATAGGACTCAATAAACAACCCTGAGGTACTCCAGCATTATTATCAGTCTTTTCAAAAGCAGGTGTTACGACTCATATTTTATCTACTTGATTGCAGTTGCTGCAAACTAAATTTTTATAATTTGAAAAATAATTTAATCATGAAACTTTCTTAGAAATGTTTATCTAAAATGCAACATTAGTTTCTGCTGGCAGTTGTGAGAAGTACTGATAACGTTTTAATAGCTGAGATTGTGTGCATCACATTTTTGTTTTCAGAAAGTGTTGCTCTTTTATGAGACTGTCTAAACTCAGTAAAGATGCACAGGAGTTCAAGTTGAAATACCTTGTCTTTAATAAAGTAAAGACGCAAACCATAAATAGATCAATTAACTATTTCTGTAAAAGATTTCAAGATAATCCTCAGGATGCAAAAATTAGAGACAAAGTTGGGTGAGATTTCTGAAAGTGTTAAAGGGTAAAAGTAACCACATTTGAGATTTTCTTTGTACTCTTACACGGCAACATTTTTCTCAGCAAATTGCTTAAATGTCTTTTCAGTCTATGTCAGTTTTAATGTGTTTCTGTTGGTCACGCAGTGACGGTCCTGGCGATCTTCCATGAGCTGCAGGTTGACGTGGATTTGTATGCGCTGCTGTTTGGAGAGAGCGTCCTCAATGATGCCGTCGCTGTCGTTTTGTCCTCGTAAGTTTTTAAAATCAAATTACGTCTAATCATGATGACTGAATGTTTGAGACATGAACAAACATGTATGAAAGTGTGTGTTTTTCATGTTTGATCAGTGAACCAACCAGCTGTGAGATTCACATTTGACCAAGCTGGAGTCAGTTCCCCTGGTGTTGCTTTGTTTTTCCTCTTCCCTTCATTGTTCTGTTGTAATTTCCACAGAACAAAGCGTTATAATAGCATGCAGCTAGGAGGAAGCAGGCCATCCAGAGAAACCCTCACCAATTCACTGACTGTGCGTTAAGTAGAGCATGTCGTTGTGTGTCTTTGCAGTGCCTGAGGACTAGCATGACGAATCAGAGGCTTTTACCCTGTTTTTACTCTGGCTTATCCAGCCAGAGTTTTAGATTATCAAGTTATTTGCTTTTTTTGTCGTTTTGGTAAACGATGTTCCGTGAAAAAAAAAATGCCCACACCCTTTAGTCATCTTTGAAGAGGAGACGAGAAGCTTAATGACAAAATGCCTTGTGATTTGTGTGTCATGTTGAACAAATCTAATTGTAGAATCAACTTTGGTTGGAAAAAAAGATGAAAGTTCCTGTTTGGTGTTTTTCAGTGCATTTTTTTCCAGAACTATGTTAGCAAATTGAGACTTTATAAAATATACAGACTAGTATTGGTTTTTACGTGGTAATATTGAGTAAAAATAACAACAACCTGGAAATAAATTAGTCTTTTATTACAGTAGCATAGAAATATTTCATAGGATCTGAGCTTTTCAGCACTAAATTCCTCTGCTGTGTTTTCTGTGAAACATTGTTACCTAGGAAGAAATAAGTAAGAAATATACTTTTTAAAAATTAAAAATAATCCATGTTAGCCAGATTTTTTTTTTATCTCAGACTTTAAATTATTGTCAGTAAATATTTTATCAAAATTTGATAACATTATCATTTTGACGATAACAGTCCAGGATTTAAAAATAACTTTCCATATTCTCAGGTCTTTTTTCTGTTTCTAGTTTGTCGCCTTCCCAGCAATGGGTCGGGTTTTTTTTTTTAAGTATCTCCATGTTCGTGCTGCAGGACTGTTTTCAGTAGAGAAAAACATTCAGCCCGAGTTCTTTCTGGTTCTGATTAAACACTGAAGTAAAACACTGGAATGTGAAGTTATTCCAGCGTTTTACTGGAATATACTTATCTGCATGATAAGGATGCTGCTTAAAGACGCGCTGTTTGGTCGAATTGAGTAAGAGAACTTTTCTGAAAATAAAGTTTCTACTCTTGGCTATTTTTTACATGCACTAAAAAACTAAAACTTTTTTTTCTTACTGCCTGGCATTAAATCAGACTAAAGTTCTTCAAATCACCATGTGCTAAAAAACAAAGAATGAATCATTTCCTCAATAAAAATAATATTTATGGGTTATATTGTACATTACTTTTACCATATTACTGTGCAGAAGTTTGGAGAAACACACAGAAAATTAATATCCAAACAGTAACTACAATACAGAAAAGGGCCATTAGATAAATAAATGAAGTTGCTTAAAAAGATCACACAAATGAAGCTTTTATAAAAATGATATAAATCCCAGTCTTGATTCACTGCAAAACGGCACAAATCATATTTGAAGATAGAAATAATTAACTTTTAAAAAGTGTGTATTTCAATAGCAGAGGCAGTAATGGAAATATTCAAAAATATTCATTTTGCTTTGCTTTATGTTATAGAAACTGTGTTATTTGCTTAAAACTCAATATATTGATCATTTTCTTTGGCTTTGCTTTTTATAATTGAAAGAATTTGTGTTTAGTGTTGTACTTTTATTGGGTTTTCGAACAAATTTATTCCTTGAATTTATTTCACTTAAAGGTAATTTTCTTTATATGACATATTTTCAGCAGCAAGGCAATACAAATTTAGTCAATCAGCTGCTTCTAATGGCATTTAGAAGAACTCACAGCTCCGCCCCATATTTTTTCTGTTGCTGCTGGACTGATGTCAACCACCAACTTTATTTGCTCTTTTGTTAGAATAAATACAGTAAACCTGATTGTGTCTGTCGTGAAGTCGACCCACTGGACTTGAGACAAACACAGACGGGTTTCCTATGTAAATATCTGGTGTGCACTGTGTATATTTGCCTTTAAGTGTTTTTCTTTGTGTTTTATTATCAGGTCTATTGTTGCATATCAGCCACAAGGAGACAACAGCCACACGTTTGAGGCCATGGCCTTGCTGAAGTCCTTAGGGATGTTCCTCGGCGTTTTCAGCGGCTCCTTCTCTCTGGGCGTTGCAACGGGAATCGTTACCGCTCTCATATCTTTTCTGGTTTTGTCGTCTGTCCAGTCTGCTGCATAAGCTATGATTAAACAAAGTTATGGCTTAGGTTACAAATAGCATCCTGCTGTTAGAGATGTGTGTAAAGTACTGAAAACAGCACGAGCATACCGATTGTTTTTTGTGACGTGGCACAGATAGTGCAGGTTTTTTGACACCTGGTAGTTCAGTAGTTGGTTTGATTGGGGATCAAAATTGCAACATTTGTTAAATTTTCAGCTGGTGCGGTTCGCTTTCACATCACATTGTGTCAAAGGAACCAAATCCTTTGGAAAAATCTGCTTCCCTCCTCACCTGTGGTGGCGCTGCACCAAGAAGCACTGAAAGTAAACAACACAGAAACCTCTGAAGAAGACGATGAAACGTAAACAAAAATGGAGTAGCGTCAGATTTTAGTGGTTGTAGGATTTCTCTTTTGTCTTTGGGAAGAGACCAGAAGCAATTTGTTCTGTTTGTATTTACCCAGAATCCTGTGTGCTGCAGTTCACTTCCTGCTTTTGGAGCGGTCTCTGGTCCTCTTGTCACTTTAATTTGAATTCGAACCGAACCAGAGTTCACATCAACAGAACAGAGAATTAGGATTTTTGGTTTTTGTTCCTTGCAGAGTTTGATTGCGCGTTCACATCTCCCCAAGCGAACCGGACCTTCTAGACAATCAAACTACAGCTTGATTAAAGTGGACTAAATGCACCTACATAATCAGTTAAATTAATTTCAATAAGATCCTTGACTGGGAATACGTGACGAAGTTCACCAAACTGAGGGACTTTCAGCTGCTGGAGACGGCTCTGTTCTTCCTCATGTCCTGGAGCACCTTCCTGCTGGCTGAAGCCTGTGGCTTCACAGGTAGCAAACTCAAACCTAAAGCGAATCTGTAGCACATTTAGTTTCATACAATGCAGCCTCGTTGAACAGATTGAAATGCGGTTTTCTTGTCTTTCGATCATGTTGTGTTGTGCAGGTGTTGTGGCTGTGCTCTTCTGTGGCATCACTCAGGCCCACTACACCTTCAACAATCTGTCTCCAGAGTCTCAGGACCGGACAAAGCAGGTCAGAACCACACGAATGCTACAAAACTGTTTAGTATTCACTAAAGGATTAGGGTGTCATTGTAAAAACAATACACCAGGGTCCATTGTTGTAATAAATAATAACCTACCTTAAATCATATGTGTGAATAGGCCTGTTGCATTAAGCAATAAAACAATTACTTGCATGACAAATACAAATTTCTACTTGCATGATTGTTTTTTTTTTTCTTTTTTCTCTTTCTAACACAAACTGGATTACAAAAGTCTCCAGTCTGTTGCTTTCCTGTTTGTAGGTTAATTTTGTTTACAGAGACTTTATTTTATTTGGGATTTTGAAATATTTTCCTGTTCCAGTGTTAAATATTCATATAAAGATTTACATTCATCACAACTTCTGTCAGTGTTTCTATCTGAAACTCAAACCAAACGTTTTGCTAATAATCAGGAGTTTTGAATAAGTTTAAAAAAGGAAAGATTTGGGAAGGAAAAATCTTCTATGTCCATCAGTTTCTCCACATTCACATGATTTAAAGTAATCAGAAAGTACAATAAATATTAGTTGTGTTTTATGATATGGTGAATAAAAGCTGTTAATTTCACGACCAAATCATTAATGAGACTCAAAGACAAACTGTTGATGTTTCTTTTCTTTGTTTTTCAGCTGTTTGAGCTGTTAAATTTCCTGGCAGAGAACTTCATCTTCTCCTACATGGGCCTGACCCTGTTCACCTTCCAGAACCACGTCTTTAATCTCATGTTCATCGTTGGAGCTTTTGTATCTTTTCAATCTGGAAAACAGAAACATTTACTGAGTTTACATTCATAAAAGGATGTCTGTTTATTAGTCCAGAATTGATGTAGTGAGGAGTTTTGTGGGTGATGTGTGAGGATGTTCCGCTGGTTTTCCTCCTTGACGTTCCTCCCATCCAGCTGGCGGTGTTTGTGGGTAGAGCTGCTAACATCTACCCTCTGTCACTCCTCCTTAATCTGGGTCGACGGAACAAGATTAGATCCAACTTCCAGCACATGATGATGTTTGCAGGCCAGTGGAGCAGACTGCAGGACTGTTCAAAACAGACACACGTTTGTGACCTTGTTTTCCTGTTTTTGCTTGGTTTTCAGGGCTGCGCGGTGCGATGACCTTCGCCCTGTCCATCAGGGACACGGCTACGTACGCCCGCCAGATGATGTTCTCCACCAATCTTCTTGTGGTTTTCTTCACTGTTTGGGTGTGTGGTGGCGGCACCACTCAGATGCTGTCCTGTCAGCGGATACGGTAAGCAGTTTCAGACATAAACTTAGACAGATTTCCTACTATTTTCTTTATTCCTTAAAAACAAATGCCACAGTTCTGGGAAACTTCTAGTCGACTCTGTTTAAATTATGTTGTTCAAACTGCACATAATGTCTGAGGAAAATGTTATTTTCCTCCCTAACAAGTCCTAAGGCTACAATGTCATCTTAGGGCCATTGAAGAAGAAGAAAAAAACAGAGAAAAGTACCTTTCGCAAAAAAAATCTTGTTGAAAAACATTCAACTGTTGAAAATTAGCCAAAATCATACATTTTGAGTTTATTCTTAGAAATGTATGAGTTTCTAAAGTTGAAAAAAATTGTCAGAAAAAAGAATCTGAAATTTTCGAGATATTTTGTGTAAAATTTCTAAGATTAATCTCAAGATTTCTGAGATTTTTGACTTTTCAATCTCAAAAATATGTCATTTTTTTCTGTAAAATTTCTGAGATTAATCTCAGAATGTAAGTTTTTTGGCTTTTTTCTATTTACAATGGCCCAAATGCGCTGGAGTACGGTGCAGAATCTAAGAATATTATGATGGAAAAAATTAAATGTATAAAATTAAATGTAAAATTAAATGATTATTTTGGTTTGAAACGAAAAGGCTCAAATTGAGATTATTTAACTTTTTTTATTTTTATTTTGCTTGTCAATCCGAGTAGATAGAAATTACAGTTTTCAAAAAATATATTTTATCTATTAAAGGCGAGAAGCTATCCAAACCATCCTGTGCTTTCTGGTTGCTGGTTGCTCCCTAACCCCAGTTTGATCAAACATTTCCAGTAACTGGCAATGAGTCTTCAACATCTGGACATTGTTGGCATTTAGAGAAATTTCTCTAAAAACGTCCATCTGCGACTGATTTACTGTTTTTCTTCTAACAGAGTGGGAGTTGACCCTGATCAGGAAAACTCTGTAAGTTGGCGACGTGATGGTAAAACTTAGCAAATGTTATTTGAACTGGTTTTACAAATAAATGCCTTTTTTTTGTTGATTCAGATGAGTTTTGCTGACGGATCAGAGAGGAGAAGCACCAAACAAGAAAGTGCCTGGCTTTTCAGAATTTGGTATAACTTCGACCACAAGTATCCTTTACAGAAACAACTCGCAGTGTTTTCGTGATTCCTCTGGTTCTCTTTCAGTTCCATGAGTGAGTGGCGAAGTGTATATTTTCAGCCAGCAGGGGGAGCACAGCTTATAGATTTGGAAACAAATGATCTCCAGAACTACAACTGAAACCAGACATTTACATCCCCTATAAATAAATGTGACGTTGTTTTAACTCTGACTTTAAATGAGACAAAATATTTATCTTTTAGGTTAGTCAGGGTTACCAAAATTATGTGTATTTGATGACTGCTATAATGATAACTTTCCTTTATTTTGACATTCAGCAAACTTTAGTTAATTTTTGTAAAGTTCCCCGGACCAGGAATTGAACCCAGGACCTTCTTGCTGCAAGGCAACGGTGCTACCAACTGCACCACTGTGCAGTCACAATAAAATATTGATTATTGTATTTTTTTCTAACATTTATTAAGTTCAATTATTTTACTATTTCCCTGCTCGTTTTGCAACAGGAGTGGATCAATAGTGTAAAGTGGCATTGTGCCCATGTGTCCCAGCTGTATGAGCCGCAATTTCTTTCAAAGATTTCAGATTTTCTTAAAAAAAACAAAAAAATATCCACCAAAGGACAAATTTTCTGTGAATAATTTGGAGAAAAGACAGAAAATCTTGCAAATACTGAACCATGAATAGGTAGAGGACCATCCACTGTATGCAAAAATACAAAAAGACAGTAAACTGGAATAAAATCACTTATGTATAAAAACGATGGAGGTTTTGATCCTGATGCTCATACCAGGCATTCATCACGTTATTTGCTATTTCCTGTTGCTCTCCCTTGGAGTTGGGAGTTGTGTAGGTTTTTCCTTGACTCCAGCTTCTCTCCAGCTACCTGAAGCCCATCCTGACGCACAGCGGCCCCCCTCTCACTACCACGCTTCCTCCCTGCTGCGGCCCCCTGGCCCGCTTCCTCACCAGCCCCCAGGCCTATGAGGTCAGAGTGCAGGTCACACGGGACAAGCAAGTTATGATCAATGAGTTGATCTAAAGTTGGCTAATAATTGGTTAAGCGGCCATTTTCTTAGTAACTTGTGTTTTTGTTTGTATCAAGGCTGTCTTTCCTTAGCATGAAGGGATCATTGTTCATGTGGTAAATATAAAAAAAGAATCACATCATTGTATTTTAACTTTTTTGCATGTCAGATGTGTTTAATACTGACTGAATAAAAACAATGGCATATTGGGGTCATTGTAGAAAAAAAATACAAAAGAAAAAACATAAAACAAGCACATCTCTGCATTCCAAAAAATTTTCTACATTTTCTAAAAAAAAAAAACATTACCTCAGAAATCTGTTTGAAAAGCCCAAAAAAAATTGACTATTCAAACTCAGAAATTTAATCTCAAAACTTTTCAAGCAAAGGTCTAAGCAGAAGTTACTATTTGATCGATTTGAGCTCATTTTAATCCAGTGAACTGTTAATCGATAAAATCCCTACAGTGGCCCGTTTTAGTTTATATGAGTGAATAAACCCGACTTGTTCCTCGTTTTCCTCCCCCAGAATGAGTGTCAGCTGAAGGACGATGACTCTGACCTCATCCTGACGGACGGTGACATCAGCCTGACTTATGGCGACATCATGGTCAGCACTGACACCACAGGCGCCCACGCCAGCGGCGGCCAGGCGGCGGACGACCTGGACCGGGAGCTGGCGTACGGCGATCATGAGCTGGTGATGAGGGGCACGCGCCTCGTTCTGCCCATGGACGACTCGGAGCCGCCGTTCACGGATCACCTGCGGATGTGAAAACCAGGTTTCAGTGCAAACGTCCAGTAAAAAACTGACCTGAGCCACTGAGCAAAAGACGAGTACCTGACTCTCCTCTTTTCACACTCCCATTTTTATTTTATTTTATTTTTTTGCACTTTTTTTCCTTTTTGCTCACTTCCTCTTTAGGAAATCGCTGTCTCTACCTCATTCTCTCATTTCATACCTCTTACTTCAATCATTCCTGGTTTTCTTCACATTTTCTCTCTCGTCATTCAGCTTACTGTAGCATTGCAGCATGAGTTAGTGAGTAAATGCAAACGCCAACCTCTACCTAATTTGTCAGTGTACAATATATCTCAAGAGAAACTATAACGTTGTTATGCATGTGGAGGTTGCTTGTGTTTTTTTTGTTTTTCTTTTTGGTCGGCGTTTTGGGTCTGACTTTGAATGTCGCTGCCTTTTCTCTGAGCACCAGAAGCAAGCTGACCCAGAGGAAAACTTCACTGTACATTTGGTTACAAACAAGTGCCTGGGAATTGTAGTTTTCAAGCATGGCAACTCTATACTAGATTATCTCTGAGAGGAAAAGTGATTTTGGGAAGGTACTGGAGAAAATATAGAAATATATATTAAACTCAAGAGAAGCCTCCGTCCCTAAAGGTAGCAATAAATTGCGCCATTGTGTCGGGAGGGTTTGTGTGGTTTGCTTGTAAATATTGTGTGAAGTGGTAGGAGCTAGTTGCAGATCTCTGTGGGTGACCTTCGACTGTGACATTAGAGAGAGGCTTAACGCCTTCCTCTGGACGGCGAGCGCGGTCGCAGCAGACTGAAGGTTTGCTGCTGTGAAAATGAGACCTAAATGAAGTGAATTGAGTCAGCTTTGTGCCATTCCCGTCACGCATTTTGACGCTTTGTAGAAACCGAATCCATTCGACCTTAAAGTGTTTTCTACGCTTTTTGCAGAGGAACATTTGTCATACACACCCAGCTTTGTTCACATCTTTCTATTCAGATATTTTTTCAGTAAAGTAATAAAAAATAAAACATTTCGGGACCTAAACTTGACGCTAAAACATTTGTTGTCTTTTTAATAATATAATTAGAAATTAGAGAGATTATCCACTGGCATTAATCTGGTTTCATATTGCTGAACAATGAATGTATTGACTGATTTATACTAGGCATCTTTCAGTGCTTTGCTACTTTAATCTCTGAAATATATTTTCTGCTACACAACTTTTCAACCAGTTATTTATGCAGCTAAATCTCAGTAGGTGTGAATATCATCAGATTAATTTTTTTCAGTATTTCAGTTCGTAAATTGTATTACTGTGGATTTATTGGACACAGAGTGAAATATTCAGGTCATTTCTGTTGGTTAGGATTACCAGCTAATGAAAACCCAAATTTCAGTTTCTCGGTAAGTGAGAATATTACATCAGACCAAGAACAAATGATCCTCTAGCAATTTGGATTGTGTGCTTTTCCACTCATCTTCCACACACTTTGACCTTGAAAACTAAACGAGGAACTAACTTTACCTTACATTTAAAAAGAGAACGATAAACCGTAACAATGGAGACCTTTTTCTCCTTAGCTTCTTCACGTATGCTACTCGATGTTTTCCTTCCACTCAACTTTCTAGTGAACTCTCTTCTTCAGCTCTGAGTTCTTGTAGCTTACCACTTCATGTTAACTGCATCCTGGATAACTTTACAATCAACAGTCATACACATAATCGTGTACCATAACATTGACAACTTTAAAAAAAAACTTATAAATCTTACAATGTTCTAATTTTACTTTTATGAGAAATTGAAATTTGAATTTTCATAGTGAGCTGATTTTGCAGCAAATATCTCAATCTGTGTGCAATTAATCTTAATAATAGGCAACTTTCCCTTTTTTTTAAATTACAGAAATAAAATAAAATTTTAATGAAATTGTCATGCAGTGAGCGATAAATAAATGTTTTCTCTGTTTGACTAGTCGGTTCAATATTGCAGTGCTGGATTTTATACATTGCCATGAACTCATTAGTCCTTTTGGTAACAAACTGCTTTCAGGGACAGTTAAAGACCATCCAATTAATCTGTTATCTTATTAAGGCGCATAATTTTAAAAGATGACTCCTAAAATGTTGCAGCCTACTAAATATTGCATCTTGACAGATCAATGCGTCATATTTCAGATTCCCTGGGAGAAGGAGATATTTGCTCTGTTCCAGATCTTTAATTTGAAAGCTGCCAGTGTCGGACGTGTCTACTTGCTGGATTTTTTTTAGTTTTCATTTGTACACAGCTGTTTACATATGAATCATTTGAAGGTAAAACAGAAGTTTACTTGCACATTTGCTTTATTTTTGTTCTTGATAAAGAAGAACGGAAAGCTTTCTGAACCCGTTCAGGGCTGCAGAGTTTCTCATCTGCTGACTGAACAGGAAGCGTTGGTCGGGCTGTCGCTGTGGCGGCGCTGTGTTTATTTGAACCGAAGCCAGAATACATTTGGTGACTAAGCTGAACACAACCATCTTTTTTTTTGTGTTTTGGCGTCGGTGCGAGCCAAAGAAAAATAAGTGAGTTCATGCAGAATAAATGCAGGATGATGGAATTAAAAAAGAGAGAGAGGGAAAGAATGAAGGAGTGAACAGAAGGAGGGAAAGTAGAGCAGGCTTGTAGATATCGCTCTTCCTTCCTTAGTTATCTTCTGCTGTGCAGGAACCTCTAATTTAACTTTTTATTTCTTGTTTGCTTGCTTGTTTGCTTTAATCAGGCGTTCTTTATGACTCCGCATGATCTATTATTACGTTGAATTATCATTTCAGTTGTTTGTACGATTAATTTTTTTTTAAAGAGAAGAAATAAAGTGAAAGAAGCCTGTAATTCACACTCATTTTGTGTGCTTTTTTTTGTTTTCAGTAATGTTTTTGTTTTATATGTTTATGGAAGTTTTTTAGGTTCTGCAAAGATTATTTCATGTATATTTTTCATCTTTTCTGGTACTTTTGTATATTATATGTTTCCAGCAAGATGTTTTTTCCATGGTGTCTTCAGAGCATAAATTATCTTCTGCCTATTGTGCATCTTTGGAAAGAAAAAGAAGTGGAATAAATCTGAGCAAAACTGTGTGCCATTATTATCTACATGCCACAATGTGAACTCTTCAAACGGTGATCAAGGTCTTGGTGTTTCTCTACTTTCTGATCGGTAACTTGAGCTTTGATCAGTGGAAATCTTGCCTGAAGTCGCTGACCGAAGAGGCCTGCTGTGCTCCGTGTTTTCAGACACTCTGCTCTCTTTCTCTCTCTCTTCATTCTGCCTTTCCTCTCCGTGTGAATGTGTCCAAATACCTGCAAGTGTTTATGGATGTGTGTCTGGCAAAAAAACAAACAAAAACAAAAAAAAAAACACGATACTGTGTCCTCTCTTTTTGTTTTTGTTGCCGATCCTGACTGTTTACATCTGTGTAAATATGCTCACCTGTTCTGTGTGCGTGCAACGGTCAATAAACTAAAGCCTTTGCATTTGATTAAAGCTCTCTGTCTGAAGGCCTCATTATTTACCTACTTCAGTATCGGATTACAGATGTCTCACTACTGATCCTCTCATTCATGCCTGATATAAACGCGATTAATATCACAGATAAATAAGTTTGTTCACATAATAAGTCATTAAAAACCAAGCCGCACCGTCATCCTCATACCATTTCCTGCTGTCTTTAATATCCAGATGTTGACCACATGATTCGTGTACAGATGAAAAACATTTCAGCAGAAAACATCTTTTTTTTTTTTTAAATTGGTTTCTATTAAATAGTTTTTGTTTTTCCAACTTGTCTCATTTTATGGTCAATAGAAACTAATATTTAAAAAATTAGATATAGGGTGAGTTGTTTAATCCGTCTCTCGTCATTTTAAAAGAGCAAACAAATTATTGATATCACTGCAAAAACATAAAGTCTTATCAAGTACTTCTATTCTAGAAACCAGTTTCTAGTTTCTGCCATGAGAACTAATACTTTTTCATCAATATTAACAAGTTATTTGACATAAAACAAGTGTTTATCTTGCTTGAAATTTGCTAGTAAGTTAGACTTATTTCAAGTGTATTCAGATGTTTGCACTAGGAACAAGAACAACATACTTTCTAAGACTTTGTGTTTTTGCAGATTCCATCAAAGTAATGAAGCAAAATTTAGGATTATATTTATTCACTGTTTATAAGCTGATGAAAGATGGAACTTTGACAAGACGTTCCCCTCGTCTCTGTTTAAATGAGTGACTAATGTTCTAATTTCACATTTGTTTACTTTCATTTGTGCTTCTAAAAGCATCACCAAAAACAAAACAGCCGTGTTTTTGCAACCAGTGAATGTTTCCTTCTGGTGTCTGAAAAATGAGCGGTCCCAAAACCCTGCCAATTTCTAAGTCATGTTCAAAGGGATGCTTCGCCATTTCCCAGCAACCCCAGCCGAGCCGAACCCGTTACCTAGTGGAGCTCCAAGACGATTGGTTTGCTAGATTTACCGCAGAAAGCGCCGTGGAATAGCTGAAACAAACAGAGCTCAATTGTTGGGATTCTCTACCAGTTTTACCACGGTAATTAAAAATAGCAACACTTGGCAGACCTGAAGCCAGATCTGCAAAAATCTGTGTCAGAGCAATTCATTAAAAAACTCAAAGTAATGTATCAGTGTTTAAAAAAGACATGCTGTTCTGCTGTCAGAGACAGCATTTAATTCTTCTTTCCCAACATATCAGGTAATGCTCCTAATATGGACATCGAGTCCAAGGCGTTTGCTCAAGAATGTCTGTTTAGAGAAGGAAGTAGTGAGCACTTAGCTCAAGTTCTCCCAAGCATTTTGTGATTATTCAATCAAGGGATTTATTGTGCAGACTTAAAACACACTTTAAATGAAGAATGAGACTTAATAGTTGTTTTTTTGGTTTCCTCCTTTGGCTGGACCTAAATACCAAAAAACATGGATATTTTTTTAACATAACTTGTATCGGTGATGTGTTTATACTTTTATAAACTTACTAATAAGTTTGTGGTGAAGGCAATAAATGTAGAATAATACATTGCTTTACAAAAGTGTTGACACCTTTTGATCTTTTTCTATGTTTTATTATGTCACAACCTAAAATTTCAATGTGTTTAATCTGGAATTTGTTGACTTAAAATTGTGCAAAAATTATGAAGTAAAAACAAAGAGATCATGTTTTCTTTTCTAAATAATATCTTAATACTTGAAATGAGACTAAATTAACTTAAAAGTAAGTTTTCAGCTAGATATAGGCGCTTGTTTTAAGTCAATAATTTATTAATATTTATTAAAAAGTACTGGTTCCATTGACAGATTATTTCACTCATTACATGGAAAATTGCTTTGGTATAAGTGAAATAATTTTTCATGAATTTTAAAAAAATACTTAAAACGAGCTGATATATTTTGCTGAAAAGTTACTTGTTAGTTAGTTTTGTTTTATTTCAAGTATTAAAATATTTTTATTTAGAAAAGGAAACATGATGTCTTTGTTTTTACTTCATAATTTTTGCACAACTTTAAGTTAACAAATTCCAGATTAAACACATTGAAATTTTAGGTTGTGACATAATAAAACATTGAAAAAGGTCAAAAGTTGTAAACACTTTTGTAAAACAAAGTATTATTCTACATTTATTTGCAGTAGAAAGTAGACAAAAATACTTAATAAGATTTTGTGTTTTTGCACAAACGATTACGTTTTACGATTACAATGTGACAAAAAAAGTAAAAAAAAAAGGTCAAGGGATAGTAGTTGTTGCAGGGCACAGTAAAGTTTATAAAGCCTTTTTATCGTTTAACTTGACCTGAGGAAACTCTGGCAACTTTTAAGACAAGAGACACAACCTCCTGATCTCTGACATTTCACCCTGAAGCATCACAAACTGTCTCTTCAGGCTTGTTGTTTGTGTTAAGGGAGGATGCAGACATCTGTTAAAGGAGCTTTAAATCACATTTCCTAAGCGTAATATTCAGAGTTGTGGGTTCCTGCAGGGTGCATGTGTTTGCTTTGGGTCAGGACTGAGTCATCTTGGTTTCTTTACCAAAGAAGGAGACGAGTGAGGCTGGAAGTGTCAGGTTAACAAATCCCCTCCATTTTTTTAAATAGCTGTAAACAGCTGAAGTGCTGCCAAGATAAATTATGTCAGAGCTGAATGTTTCTGCAGAGCAGAGCTGTAACTATGTTGAGTCTCTGCTCCCATCGATGCAGAAAATTATGACTATTTTCCACCGATTTCCGTTCCTGTAGAGCCAATGAGAACTAAAGTATGTGCTTGTAGATTCCTGGTTGAGGTCATTGTTTATTGGGTTTGTAGGGGTTCGGCTCGCCTAGTTTTTTCTTTTCCTTTCTCTCTCTCTCTCTTTTTTTAGCTGCGAGCTTTAAAGCTGCGCAGTGTGCGCTCATTTGAACCCTTTCCGCCAAACCCAGCGGAGCGGACGCATCGCGGCTGGCGCAAAGAGACAGACGCTTTCTGCAGAGGTGAGTGAAAACTGCTGCCGGGATTATCATCAATTAGACCCTCAGTCCGGTTTTCATGACAGCATGGATGGATTTCATCATGATGATATTGTTTGGTTCACTTTGGGACAAGGTTTCTTACTAAAGGGACATTTCCAACATGATTTCCTGCAGAGAGAATCAGCCTGGTGTTACCAGAGTTAGTTACATTTACTCAGTTTACTTGAGTAACCTTTTTTTTTTATATATATAAATGTACTTTTAGGAGTATTTTTGTACTTGAGCCAATTTCTTATGAAGAGTTGGTGCTTTTACTTGAGTAAAATGTCTGATTCTCTTCCCACTGCGAGGAACCAAAAATTCACCAAACACACCTGCAGTTTTTAATCTTTTGTTGAAAGAAACTGATTTGGAGACATTTTCTTTTGCCTGATTTTGTTATATTTTGATGCTAATATGAATTATTGTCATTTTGGTCCTTAAAATGCCAAAATTTCCACTTAATTTTATATCTTGGTCCATTTGATTATGTTATTTTCAATATTAAATAACTGAAATTTGATCAATACTTCATACTTGAGTAGACCATTTTACTAAATATCATGATTTAAGCATATTTAGTAGAAAGCCTGCAGAAGGTTTTTTAGTGGTGACCAGATGATAATCTGGGAAGAATGTAGAAAAAAATTTCTTTATTATTTTTTTGCTATATTGAATATGACTAAATTTAACCTGCAGAAAGAAATATCTGCTATTCCTTTGGATTATTTTAGCCATTCTAAAATCTTGCCTGCTTTTTTTTTTTAAATGCACAAAATAAGAATTATTATTGTCAAATAAATAAACACATTCCTCAGCTCATTAAAGTTTGTCCCTTAAGTTCTTGACTAAACTTCAATTCAGTCCAATTCAATAAAAAAAACTTTAACAATTGTTGTTCAATGTAGTGTTTTATCACTCCATGCCACTAGGGGGAGCCTGCTACAATTTAAAGCTGGACAAAATGGCTGAAAAAACATGTCACTATATAAACGGTTCATATCAGTTAATATTGATAATTGTCAGTTTTGATAATTATTGATTAGTTTTTTTTGTTTTAAGTATGTGATGCAGCTACTGCCAAACCGGTGGCTTGACCTTTCCTGTTCTATCCACAGTTTTCACTCCCGGCTGCTGTGTGTTTATTTTCAAGCAGTTCTGAGGTCAAGGGGTTAAACCTGAAACTGCTGCTGCGTCAGTTACTCCACAACAATGAATGAACGAGTTGCTTGGTAACCAAAAAGTGTTAATGTTAGTTGATTTCATGAAGGAGCTTGAGTGGCTAACAACTTTCCTCTGCCTACATCTCCCATAATTCTGTGCTGTCCAATATACTGAATATTCTATCAGATGTTCTATGTATTGATATTTGAGCCCAGGACCGTCTTTCTTTAAGGTAACAGTGCCAGTAACTGCACCACTTTTACATCTTTCAAACAAAGTCTGCATAATATGCTGCTGTGTGCTTTTTATGGGGGTGTGCAAAATGTATCAAAGACGAGACAAATTCAAATGTTTCTGAGGCAAAGCAGACAAAAACCTGGAGTAAAGTACTTTGCACAGATTAATTCAAAACAACACAGGACACGTTTAACATAAACTAAAGAATCCATGATGAAATCTTCTGCTTCAGAGGGTGTTTGAGGAAAATGTGAGATCATTTGGGAAAAAAGGAAGAGGAACTTTATTCTGCAACATGACAGCAGTTCAGAAAATTCACCGTATTATGAAGATGGAAAGTCTTGTGAAAAGCCAAAATCCAGATCTTTATTACTTGAAACACGATAAAAACTTGTAAAACATCTCATTAGTGCAATCAAAGAGTGGCAAATGTTCCTCAGACAGTCCAGAGCCTGGTAGAGTTGTGTCATTGTCATTATTTCAACAGAAGGAGTAACGTTGATATCCAACCATTTTCCTCGGCTGGAAAATGCCTTTCTGTTAAAATCCATTTTTAATAAGTGAAACATTGCTAATTTTTGTTGTTTAAACACATTAATCACATTATTTTCCAGAGATTAGACTCAGATATGTGAACATTTCTTGCTGAAATTCACCAGTGTGTCCTAATTTCTGATCTTAATACCCTTTAAGTGTATTTATGTGTGTAACCTGCTGAGCCCAAAGGTACTACTTGTGGCTTTAAGCCGTTAAAACATTCGTCCCCTCCCTGTTTTTACATGGGATGCTGCCAAACCAACTACATGATGTCATTTAGGCGAGTGGGAGATTATGGCTCTGTCTCTGGCCTGCCTCCAGTATGACCTCACCAGCCTTTAAAAACCTAAAAGTCTTTGTCCGTGACTGTATGATGAATTAACCAAACTTTAATGGCAGAGAGAGAGGAAGTCCTTAGCTGTCGTCATTTCATAAACCACTCAAAGCAAATGCGAGCTTTAGATGCAGCAGACTGAGGCAGCTCCGTGCCAGCTGTTCCTCAGGCAGAGAGACGCTTTTGTTGAGGAGACAGTCCCATCACTCTTTCTTTTATTGCAAACGGAGCGGAGAGGAAGAAAGAGGGTGCGCCTCGGTGGCGTCCACGCTGATGAATGGAGAGCAGCAGCGGCCCGGCGCTGCCTTAAATAGGCAAACTGAGCGCAAGATAAACCGATGTTTCCTGCACAAGCAGAAACTTCAACTCAATTTGAATGTTTGGTGATTAAAAATAAAATGGTTGGAATAATATTTCTGTCATTAATTTTGAAGTAACACTGAAACAGTGAAGGCGGCAGGAGTGGGATTTGTTAGAAGCAGCAAATGGCTTTTAATACTTAGACATGAGGCGTTTCCACATTATATTATTCTATGCAGCTCTGGGAAACATTAAGATAAATACTAACGTTTTGCTTAAAATTTCAGAGACATGATGTCAGTAGAGCAACGTTCATTTCACTCAAACATTACTTATGAACAGTAAAATCACTAAAAGTCTCATTTTTTATGGAGCTGCAGCTCATAAAGCTTCATTTGCTGATTATTGAAGAGCAGCTTTTATGCACGTTGCTTTTGTTTGGGTTTCTACTGATTCTAAAAAGAAGAATTTCAAAGAAAAAACACGGTTTGCGTGTTGATAGAGCTCCCCTCATGGCCTTTTGTCCACACATATTTTAGATCTGGGCTCGTCTCGCTCTGCCAGCCAAACCCTGACCTTATGTCTGCGCGCTGACACGGCTCAGTGTGCGAGGAGGCCTGCGGTGAGTCACTGCTTCTCCTGACGGACACGATCTGGCTCAGGTCATCTGCCTGCTGACCGGCTTTGGAGGGCGATGGAGGCTCATGAAAGTCCAGGGCAAAAGGTCACGTGTGGAAACAGGCCTGCCGCTGTGTAAACATGACTTCTGTTGCAGCGGCTTACAGCCTGACGAGGCGCCGCTTCATTTCCTCCAATCTAATTTCTTGAGGAAGTGCAAGCAAGATGTGCTGTTTCTCATCTTTAAAGCCAACAATGGAAACATTTTTATCCATTTGTTTAAAAAGCAACAAACATGTCAGATTTAATCCCAACTGCTTTACTTCAGTTACAATGACCGTTTTGTTCGTTTCTAAGAGGAATTTTGAATTATTTCTGCTCATTTCAAGGCAAATTAACTAAATATCAGTTCAGTAATCATAAGTTAAACTAAACTAACTAAAAATCCACAATATTTTGCAGAAAATCTGAAAATAAATGGATCCTTTATGGTGCAGTCTTTATGTTTGGGGGTAAATGTTCCCCAGCCAACCTGACTCGTTCTGTGATTCATCTTTTATGAAAGCAGCCGATTCATCATGTCATTTGTTCATGATATAAACACTAAACGTCTCATGTTGGGGCAGTGGGACTATCTTTATTTAACTCGTCATATCACCGTTCTGGAATCCAAAACATATCCCCCAATCTGTCCTCCGTCCATATTCTCTAATCCATATCCTAAAAAGGCCTGGAGAGGTGAAGGTTGGATTTGGATGAGGGGTCAGCGGTGGTCTGGGTCACAGAGGGGTATAAACAGGCCTCCATAACACACTGATGCTCAGGGTTGCTCGGTTCGATGCTCTGTGGATCATAAAACTCCTCAAAATCTTCCTGATTGGAACCAAACATGACTTTCTACAGGCATTCAGGTAAAAATTACATTTTTAAACAAAAAAAGGGAACTTTTGGTGTGTTCTTTTTTTATATTTGTGTTTCCCTAAAAGAGAAGCATAATCAGCTAAAACCAAATCAACATCATTTATTTATTTTTCTTGAACATCCCAGTCATTTCTACTATATTTGAAATGTTTTATTTTATTCTATTATTTGACTTTATATTATATAGATATAACTGTTTCTCTTTACTGGAGGATAATAACTTGTCAGGTGCTGAATAAATAGTTTTATTTTTCACACCACTGCAGGATTTTGCTTGTTGAATCTGTTGTTTCCTCGTTTTTATGATGTGGTTTAAACTATTTCTGCCACACAAGCGTCACATAAAATTATACAAAAGCATTTTCTAGTCAGCAGGTTCATGCAGTTGACCATAAAACATCATTTAATAAAAATTGTTCCTGACAGGAACAAAGTTTTTAGTACCTGGAGTTCAGATTAATTTTAATACATTTAAAATACTCTCATAAAATGCAGTAAATAGTGAGTCACAAATATATTACTCTGAAAATATTAGAATTTAAGGAAGCAAAGCTTTTCAGGTTGTGGCCCTGAGATACTCTAAAACATTTTCATGTTTAAAATTGGACTTTTTAAAATTCCAATTCTGCCATTCTTTAATTTATTTCATGTCTGAAAAGCTTCTATAACTTGTGATTAAATTACATGGGAAAAACATGGAAAAATGTCTAATTATATTTACTCAATTACATTCACTTGACTCACTTTTTTTGGAAAAAAATTCCTTCTACTTACACTGTACCTTTTACTTTTGCCTGAGTAACTTCATTATAAATCATTTGAAATCAATTTCTGGATTTAGAAGTTTTTTTATTGAAAGAAACTGATGTGGGCAAATTTTCTTTTGCCTTATTTTGTTATTTTTTTGTTGCTTGTAAAAATTATTGTTATTTTCGTCCTAAAAATACCAAAATTTGACTTGACTTTATGTTTTGGTCCATCTGATGATGCAATTTTTAAATATTAAATGATTGATCAGTTACTCAGTACTTGAATAGACATTTTACAAAATACTTTTCACTCTTAATTGAATAATTCCTTGAACGGCTCCCTTCAACTTTTACTTGACTAAAACATGTTGAAGTCGTGCTGCTCTTATTTTAGTGCAAGTTTTGGATGCTCTGGTTATAAGTGATGAATCTGCCAGAACTGGAACAATATCCATGAAGCTTTTATATCTTCTGAAAAGTTACTTGTAAATCAATTTTATCTTATTTCAAGTGTGTCAAGATGTTTGACCTAGAAACTAAACCAAAAATACTTGGTAAGATTTAATGATTTGCAGTGTAAATCACCAAATCATGCAAAAAACAAAAACAAAAAGAAAAACATAATAAATCAAGATGTGGCTGCTGAGTTGGTGATCGGTCTGGCTCCGGTCTCTGGTCCCTCTGTGACCTTTTCCACTGCAGAGGTCGTCTGTCCACAGGGACACAGTTTCGATAATCCTCTTCAGCGGACGGTGAGTGCATATCATCTCAGACTCTGTTTGCAACAAAGATTAAAGCTGCGCCAACAATAGCTGCTTATCCCCCTGCGGGCCTTTCCACATTCTCCCCACTTTGGGAGGTTCTTTAAATAGATCCGCTGAGCGGCTCGGCTCCCCAGAAGCTTCAGTTGGTTGGACAGGTTGGGTTATTTCTGGCTTCCCTCTCCACTCGTTATCCCTGCAGCACAGCTGCACATTGCTACACCAAAACGTCGCCCATCCATCCATCCGTCCGCACACAACAGGGGACATACTGCGTTCCTGGAGGAGGCTGTTTACTGCATCCTATTAAAATAGCTTCGTAAATATTTGTCTCGTCCCCATGGTTACTAGGACAAAACGTCATTCCACCCATTGTTTTCTGCTTGGCTCCTGTTATTGCCATCAGATCGAAACATCTGCGGCTGTAGGAAACGATCAGCTGATGGAGAAAATGGTGCAGCTGCTGGAAAGCAGAACGAAGAATAAGCCGAGTTGTTCAGAGTTCAGAGGAGGTCCGTGGAGAACGAGCCAACAGACAGAGCTCTGCAGGGGAAGTCAGATTAACGCAGGACAAGAAGCCGTCTGTGTGAGCCGGTTTACCTCATTCGCACCTCAGTCATCAGTTCGGTATGCCTGCGTGAGAGAACACGCGGTCCTCAACACCCGGTCCTCAACACATGGTCCTCAACACCCGGTCCTCAACACCCGGTCCTCAACACGCGGTCCTCAACACGCGGTCCTCAACACGCGGTCCTCAACACGCGGTCCTCAACAC